CCTTTTTTTTTTTTCCTCCCTCGCGGTAGAACAGTTTGTGAAAGTGATATTTGATCGAGCATACTTGAGTTAAAGGGGGGGGTAATTGGACACCCCTGCCTCTATGCAGAGTTTCTTCTTAAATGGGTTGGCGTTGAGACGGACTCACCGGCCCGCACCCTGGCCGGTGTATGTGACGTCGCCGTATAGCATTTGCTTTGTTCACCATCTTGTTGGAGTCATCTGCTGCAACAACAGCAATTAAAATGGTACGCACCTCACGCAAGGGACTCTTCCCCCCTACACAAAAATATATAAATAATAATAACAAAAATAAAATAAATAACAGCATGAGTTTACATGGCGCAGTCATTCCATTCGCCTTTTTTTTGCAGAGGGATGCATGCATTCGAAGGGTTCACACATATGTATGTACATTTGGCATCGCGCACTTCCCCTCAAGGCACGATGCACACATTTTTATCGCCCTCTCCGGGGCCCTTACACCCCTTTTGGGCTTCTCTGCTGTGCTGTGCTCTGGGTTGCTCGGGTGGTAAACTTGGTTCATAAATACTGATTAACATTTGTGTGTTTTTTTTTTTTTTTTTTTTTTTTTTTTTGCCCTTCTCCACAGCTCAGCTGAGCATTTGACCCCAATGGCAAAGCAAACTACTTAACTTTTTTGTTTTTTTTTTTTTTTTTGTGAAGGTGTGAATATGACATTTGTACCTCCTTCCTGCAGAGATGCGTCGATGAGGGGTTTTTTGCAAACAGGTTGAGCAAAATGAGTATAGATACAAGATCGTCATGTGCGTGGGCCTTTTGTAGAGTGTTTGCGTTTTCGTGAAGGCCCCCGTCCCGGGTGTGCTCTTCCTCCTTTTTTTTTTTTTTTTTTTTTTCGCTCCCCTTCCAGTTTGGTACTTCTCCCGAAGAAGCTACCCGCATGAACAGACGTAGGGGTCCCTGCCCACTCACCATTCACATATGTGTGTATGAGCCATTTCTTCACAAATGAGTTGCCTGCATTGACCCCGCCTGGACCGTCAACCTGCGTGCATAAGCAAAAGGTTTAGCACGACAGTGGAAGCGTGAGAGGGGGGGGTCACGTCTACCTCCAGACATTTACAAAGTCTTTTATGCACACGTGACTAGGTCAAGATGAGAAAAATTCTGCACCCACATAAGTTAATAAAGGAAAATGGGGATATGCTCAGACGTAGGTTCCACGTGGGTGGGTGCGCGCCCAGCGATAACTTCAACCCCAGCATGACGTCCTACATTGAGGGAGCCTACCAGATATGGCGTCAGGACAGGTAAGTTGAGAGATGCGGCTAAGAAGCACGCCGCAGTGACACACACACGTGCGTGCATACGTGCGTGCGTGCATATGTGTGTACATGCATGCGTTACACGTACATATACGTATGCATGCCCCCCCCCCGCAGGAACTCGCTGCACAAGTCGTGGGACCAGTACTTCGCGGAGATGTGTGCAGAGGCGGGGCCGCTGGGGAGTGCCCCCCCGCACGTGCTGAACATGAAGGAGGATGCAGTAGAGAGGGATGTTAAGAGCAGAATCGGAGCGAACCTACTCTCCAAGCAAACAAATCACAATATACGAATAACATACGTGAACAATGAAATGCTTGATAAAGGCAGGATGGGCAATATTTACGACATTGCTCGTATAGTGCAGCTGATCAGGTGGTACCAGAAGAAGGGTCACCTATATGCAAACATAAATCCTCTACCTCTACCCAATACACCACCATACAGTAGCGTGGTGAATGAAGCGGATAAGAGAAAAATGAGTTACTCCGATTTTGGGTTCACAAAGGATGACTTAGATGCAGAATTTTCATTCGACTTACCATCCATTACAGGTTTTTCAAGTGATACAAAAGAGACAAGCACATTAAGAAGTTTAATTGAAAGACTGGAACAGACCTATTGTGGGACAATCGGTTTTGAATACATGCACATCACAGACGAGAATATTGTGAATTACATTGTGAAGAGGATTGAACAGGATAAGAAATTTCAGTATGACCATAAGGTTAAGAGAAAAATATTGGAGAATACAGCTAGAGCATTTATATTTGAAAATTACATGGCTGCAAAATTTGCAACGACAAAAAGATTTGGCATAGATGGTTGTGAAACATTAATTACAGGTATGAAGGCTCTGATCACAAGAGCAGCGAAGGTTCAAATTGATAGTGTCCTTATGAGTATGTCTCACCGAGGTCGCCTCAACGTCCTGTTCAACGTCCTACATAAACCTCTCGAGCATATGATGTCGGAGTTTAGGGGAAAAACTGGCTTCACAGATAATATATGGGGTAATACAGGAGATGTGAAATATCACTTGGGGGTTGAGATTGATCACCTAGATGAAGAATCTAATCGGTATATCCACATGGGTATTGTAGATAATTCATCTCATTTAGAATCTGTTGATCCCATTTTAATGGGACAAGCTAGAGCGCAGCAATATTATTGTAACGATAAGGACAAGGAAAAAGTTCTTCCAATCACCATCCATGGAGATGCTTCTATAGCAGGACAAGGGATCGCATATGAAACATTACAAATGTCAAAATTACCCAGTTACTCTGTTGGAGGGACTATACACATTGTGGTGAATAATCAAATTGGGTTCACCACCTATCCGGTAGATGCAAGGTCAGGCAAATATTGTACAGACATCGCCAAATGTATTGACATCCCCATTATACATGTGAATGCAGATGACCCAGAAGCAGTCACCTACGTTTTTGAATTAGCATTAGACATAAGAAATACATTTCACGTCGACACCATTATTGACCTTGTGGGGTACAGGAGGTTTGGTCACAACGAACTAGACATGCCTAAATTTACAAACCCTTTGCTGTATGACATCATTACGAGACATGAATCTGTTTTAGACCTGTATAGTAGAAAGTTAATTCGTGAGGGAGTAACTAGTGTGGAAGAATTTGAACTAAACAAGACGAATATTTACAACTTGTATGAAGAAGTGTATGAACATTCAAAATCCTTTGTCCCGACCCCAAAGGAGAAATATTTACCACAATGGGAGCATATGGTGACGCCGCAAAAATTTTCTCCTTCCAGGAAAACAGGAGTAGAAAAAAAAGTCCTTCTTGACCTGGGCAAACAAATATTTACAATAAGAGAAAATTTTCATGCACATCCCATCATCACCAAACTGTTTAAGGGACGCATAGAAAGTTTGAACACAGGAAAGAATATCGATTTTGGAACAGCGGAACTGTTGGCTTATGCAAGTTTATTGTCAGATGGGTTCCATGCTAGATTGTCAGGACAAGACTCACAAAGAGGAACCTTTTCACACAGACATGCTGTCCTGCATGACCAGATTACTTACGAATCTTATAACATATTTGATTCGTTGAAGACGCCACACAGTATAGAAGTAAATAATTCTTTACTCTCGGAATATGCAGCCTTAGGGTTCGAAATAGGATACAGTTATGAACACCCAGATGCGCTGGTCGTGTGGGAAGCACAGTTTGGTGATTTTGCCAATGGGGCTCAAGTGATGATTGACAATTATATCGCTTCTGGTGAAACAAAATGGAATAAGCAATCGGGTATTGTTATGTTTTTACCTCATGGGTACGATGGGCAGGGTCCTGAACATTCCTCTGCTCGAATTGAGCGCTTTCTACAACTCTGTGATGACAGGGAGGATATCGCTACCTACTCTGTCGAGAAAGACAAAACAATTATTCAGCAACATAACATGCAGGTAATTAATTGCACCAAGCCATCCAATCTGTTTCATGCACTGAGGAGACAGATGCATAGGTCGTTCAGGAAACCCCTCATCGCGATCACTGCAAAAAAAATGCTGAAAATGAGAATGGCATTTGATGTTATTGAAAATTTTGTCACATCTACAGAATTCCTTCCATATTTACCTGAACAGCAAGCTCATAAAATAAACGATAAGGATGACATTAAGCGAATCATCCTGTGCTCTGGGCAGGTCTATTATGACCTGTTGAATTATAGGGAGGCCAATGAGATTAAGAATGTTGCTATTGCTACTATTGAGCAGCTATCTCCTTTTCCTTTTAAACAATTCATGCAGGATTTACAGACGTATCCTAACTTGCGAGATGTAATTTGGGTTCAGGAAGAACACATGAATATGGGTCCGTGGTTTTATGTTTCTCGCCGTATTGAGGCAGCCATTCAGCAGCTGAAAAGGGATAACCCGCAATGGGACATCGCCATACCGCAGGTTTTCTACTCGGGCAGGGATGTGTACGCTGCGCAGTCTGCAGGAGACCTCAACCTGCACCTCTACCAGCTGGAGGAGTTCTTGGTCGACGCGTTCAACCTGACAAAGACGCACCACATGCACGCGCATAAGTATGCTGCGGTGGCCAACTGACTTATGCGACGCGTCACGTGGAGCAGCGCAGTTGAATCTGCGTAGCGCTGTGCCTCCATACACACACACAGCGCGTGTAGCTACATCTGTAACGCCTAAGCGCGTGCACGTATCATTTTATTTTTTTTCCATTTTACACTTTTAACAATTGGAAATAAAAGGAGAGTGAACATTCTTCACTTCCATTGAAACATTTTTTGCCCTACTCGTATCGTGAACGAGGCCACATGGCAAAGTGATGAAATGTCAACAGGGTGTGGGTGCATGTGTGTGGGTGCATGTGTGTGGGTGCATGTGTGTGGGTGCATGTGTGTGGGGTGGGCCTGCTAGTTGATCACTGGTACGGTTAGATGGTTCCACTTGGTGGGGGTGCTGCCCCAGATGGATATAAGCCCCTGGCCGTTTTACGCTGCTGACATGCATTGACAGCGTGCATTCAACGGGAGAGATGCCCTTCGGAGGGCCGCTTACCCAAGCGGGGTGTAACTGCTAGACATTTGGAAGCCGCTCGAGGTGCGCTTGGGTTCGCGTACGAATGGGCCACCTGTTCAGGCAAGCAACATGGCTTTCGTTTATGGGTTACAAAAAAATTAAAAAAAAAAAAAAAAAGAGAAAAGGCGCGAACGGCACCTAAGCAGCGGGGCCACATAGGTAGCGCTATCATGTAGTGGCTTCCTACTAACCGCGCACAAGCGCCACCTACGTGTCGGTCTCCTTCCCGCTGAGGAGCCCCTTTTTGAGGAAGTACTTGAGCATGAACTTGGTGTAAAAGTCGGTGGGCAAACCCCGTCCGTGGGTGTGTTCCCGTCGCGGGCTGTCCTGTGGCGTGCAGCACAAAAATACAAGTTTAAACGATTGGGAGAAGGATTTCACGCGATCATTATGTACAGCCTTGAGTCGGTCTGCATAAGAGTTGTAACCCCATTCGCAAAGGTACAGTCGCACCTTTTGGCTGAAGCGGCTATCATTGCACATGGCATTGAGGTCTTCATACTTGTGGTCGATTATATGAATGGATTCATCGCCCCGATGGTGGTTTTCAATAACGAAGTTGATCAAGTTGCACTTCTCCTTAAGCATGTCTAGGTAGTACCTGTGGTTAAGAAAGTGGTAGTCCCTTTTCTTCGTCTTCTGCTCATACTTCAAATATTCCAGGTCCACGTTGTATGGGTCGTACAGGTAATCATCCGGCGCACCACCCTGCAGTCCATTCTTAAGGAGAGAAGCCTGTCTGCCTCCGAAGTAGGGTGACTTTAAGAGCCGCTTTAAATTCTTCATGACTGAGTTGGAGTCGCCCTCACCTACTGATTGTTTCCGCTTCTGCATGTAGTCCTTACCGAAGATGCGCAAGAGGTGAGAATCCCCCTCATTAGCAATGTTGACTCCAAATAATTTAAGCGTGTATTCAATATAATCTGTACCCTCCATGGTAGAAACGACATACATGGGTTTTTTAAAAACATTAATGTGATGATTGATCAAGTCCACTGCACAGAAGTTAAACGTCCTGTGGTTCTGTCTCTCTTCTTCACTCAACGTTTCACATGGGTACCGATACTGCATCAGGTGGTTATATGCATCTGTCTCACATTGCATGAGTAATTTTCTCGTTTGTTCAAATTGGGTTCGAACCCATGTGGGATCTACTTTATATCGTTCATACAATTTCAGGTTCATTTTTTTTTTATAAAAATTGTCAAAATCGTTATGGAAGCTAGGGAAGACGTTTGTGAAATTTTCAATTTTCTTATATTTGGTTATGACACACGGATTGAACGTTCCTTTAGTGAATTCCTTCACGAGGTTGTAAATGTGTAGTTGATCTCGTTGGTCTCGTTCGTCTCGCTGGTCCACGTTGGCAGGGGTTATGTTTTCCTTTGGGGGCGCTCCCTCCACGGGTTGCTTCGAATGTGCTTGTTTAAAATCCTTTTTGTCGTCATGTACATAGTGGCCCACTTTGTGTAGCCTCTTCCGCATGACGTTTTTCTCCTCACAAATGCGTAGCATCTCGTTAATGTCGTAGTTGTGCTTGGTGCATATGGCATCGACCTGGTCAAAGACATACTTAATTGCCATCACTAAGTCTTCTGTGGTTTTTAAAAATTTATACAAATAAAGAAAGCGCGAGTAAAGGAATTTTGGTATGAGCTTTAACAAAATGAAAGGGTCATCATTGTGGGGGGGCTGCTCACTGCTGGTCTCTCCTTCCTTAAATAAATAATTCCTCGAGCGGACAAAAGTGTATAAGGGAAGACCCTCGATGGGTTTCCCATTGAAGAGCAGACATGGATACCCCTGTGAGGAGCTCCCCTTAGGCTGCCTCTGAAATAAACGAAGAAAAGTTAAAAAAGCCACAACGATTTTCTCCTGCTTATTCATATTAATGACCCCCTCAAAATTAAAAATGAACATGTCATCTGGGTAGTAGTTTAGTATATAGGGTAGCTGGTAATTTGTGTTTTTGTAAATAAGGGGATTATCCAACAGAGCTCCTGTTTCCTCACCTCTGCTAAGCTTTATATAATCCTTTTCCTTGTGCAAGTGCACATTTGCTAGCTTGGGATTAAATGCCGGCACCCTTTTTACATCCTTCACCTCTATGTCTTTTAAGAGGTTGTAAATGCAAATTCCTTCATCGTATGCAGAGGTCGTATCGTTGGTGGTGCGAAATATGTTTATGTTCAGGTTGGAGTTTATTTTGACATCCTGCGGTTCGAATTTGTTAATTGTAAGATTTTGCTCATTTGTGTCTGTTTGGTTTGGCTCTTCATGAATGCCCTCATGAATGCCCTGGTCGATGCCGCCCTGATCGCTTCCCTTGGCCGCCTTCCCTACCCTGGAGGCGCATCTCCTTCGTTGCCATGGGACGAGAGAATGGTTGAGGAAAAAGGTGGCTTGCATCCTCCCCTTTCTGCGCGTGTCGCACACATCCAATAGGAAGAGCAGCAGCAGGGGAAGCAGCAAATTCAGAAGCCACATTTGCTTACAATTATAATTATTAGTGCAACGCCCTCCCTCTCCCCCATTCCACCTACTCGTTTCTTCCTCAAATGGGGACCACGAAAAGGTGGTCCTACGTCACAGTGAATCCCCTTGCTTCTTTCCTTCCACCGCAATGTTTACGGCGAAACAAAGGGGGCACATCCCCACTGGGCCTTCCCTACACCCGCGGGTCATACTCTGCACACGTATCGCCACACACACACATACCCCCTACAATACATTCGAATTAATTTCTCGTAGGGCGCCTCAGGAAAAGCAGTTTGCGAACAGGCTTTTTTTCTTTGGGCAAGAAAATCCCACCAAAACGCGCAGCATCACCAAATGGCCCTTCCACTCTTACCGCGCTGAAGAAATGATCTCTATGGGACACACAAAAACAAAAAAATAATAAAAACACTACCACTTAACAGTTACCTCTCCCTGGTTGCAGTGCTCTGGCGATGTAGCTGGTGCATCAGAAAAAGTCAGTCACATCATATTTGCAAACCATTCCTCCTATTTTTGCACCATATTAGGGGGCGATTATATGTTTTTTTTTTTTTTTTTTTTTTTTTTTTCCCATCAACTGGTAGAGGTCACCTCAAAGCGCACATATGGGTAGCCGCGCCTACACATGCAGATCGGGCGGGGCTGCAAAAATGGAAACCCTTCACCATAATAAATCGATACGCTTAAAATGGAGGAAGTTAGCGGAAGAGTTCCCACGTGTGAGCTCCGCTTCAGTTTATATATAAGTCACAAAAAAAAAAAAAAAAAAAATGTAAAACAGATGGTCCCTCTCATGGGCACTTTGCAGGATTGCGACAAATCTGTCGCCTTTTACAAAATGGGTCGATCTGGACACACGATGGGGCGATTTATGTCCCCATGTAGGGGGCGCACATCTCTCTGCTTCCGTATGCGTTACTGTCCCCCCTGCGTGATGGAATAAACAGCGTAGAGGAACCAGTAGGCCTTCAAAAAAATCTCATGTTCGCATTTATATTTTATTAAAAAAAAAAGGTAGTGTATTTTGAAGAAGAACAAAAAAGACACAAAGTACTGATTATAAATGTTCGCCAAGTGGGCATTTTTTTTCTGCCAATAAAACACACCATGGAGATGGTTAAACAAGTTGTCCTTCTCATTTGAAGAACCATGTTTGTGTATTCTCTTTAAATTACTTATAGTAATGCCAACACTATATTTTATATTGTTCATGAAAATGCAGCCTACACTGGTTAACATCTTTATAATATTATTTTCGTCCAGGTAAATTCTTTTTTTTATTTTTTTTTTCATTTTTTTTAAAAAGAGAAAGCTTCCATCGCTGCTTGTGTTGATTGAGTCGATCGGTCCATCATCGCTGTCGTGATCTTCTTCCGTTTCGTTCATGGAGGATGAAATGTCATTTGTGATGTTGTCACGTGCTCGGGCCATCATCATGTAGGAAAAGATGGAGTCGTCCATTTTTTTTTTTTTTTTTAACAGTCTTTTTGCAGCGCCATTTTTTTTCACCCCTTCGGCTAGCTCACCGCTTTTATCATGCTCCTTGTTTCTGTGCGTGTCCCTTTTGCTGACCCCCAAGTGAGGGGTATCCCTTCTTCGCTTGTCCTGTGAGAAGTAGAGACTGTACCCACTTGCGTCGCTGTGGTTAGTGATATGAGTACTGTCACTCCGATTATATCCACTGCGGGAGTCTCTACCCCCCCCCTCATCGTCCTCCTCCTCCTGCACCTCCCTCTTGCCCTCCTGAGGAAACCGTTCTGAAAACAAAGCATGTCTCTTCAGCTCGTCGAAGTAGAAAAGGTAAGCTTCCAGCGAGTTATTATAATTGGCTTGATTAAATTTGCGGACAGCAGATTCCTTGTATTGCCTATTCAGCATGTGGTGGTACATACAAATGCAATTGCAAAAGTAACTTCTGTTCAAGCGCTTCCTTTTGTCACTCACACAATTGAAGTCGACACTACAAAGCGAAATGCACAGATCCAGGAAAGAATTTACAATTATATCAAATGTGTTCATGAGTAAGGTATTTTTATTTGCATATTTGTTGGACGTACGGGAGAAGGCACTATTCAGGTTTTTTTTTTCTTTTTTTTTTTTTTTATTAAAAAATTTTTTCTTCCTTAATATCATTTGGCTGAGTTCATTTATCCTATCCCATTCGCTTCCTTCCTGGGGGTTGTTAATTGTTCCATTTATGTCTCCTTCCTGAGTGTGAGACTTCATCACGCGTACACTTGATCCCTTCCGTGCAATCTTCTTCATCCGATTGTGTGTCATGAAAGGCAATATGTCTTCCTCATGTGTATCGTGTGGCTTGGCTTGAATGTCTAATGTAGGTGGGTTGGGTTCACAGGTATGGGGTATATTCATGTGTTCATGCAAATATGGGGGTGTACTGTACATTTGGGGAGCGCCGCATTTTTTTTTTGTTTCACTCTCCCTGTTGCTTCGGTTTTATACTGTACTGACCTGGTAGGTGGCCGCGCACAACGCGTGACAGTCGAGAGCCAACACACCGATCGCTATACTTAAACACTAACTTAATAGAATAAGAAAGAAGCACATTCAAGTAGGTGCAAGAAAAATAAACATTGTGAATATGCATGAAGAGGTAAAAAGTATTTAATACAAAAAAGACAAACTCATTTATGTTGAACCCATTATCTGCGTAGAATTCCTTTGCGTAATTATACAAGGAAAGGTTATCACTGGAGTCACTGTTTTCGTACGAGTTGCAATCCGATTCAATGAAGTTGTCATTTTTATTCTGCGCAAAGGTAAAAGGTACGTCTGAAATTTTTTTTTTATTTTTTTTATTTAGTAGTGGACAACCACCCTGCGATTGCATATATATGAAATTTTCCTTTTTTTTTTCTTGCTGATGTTTTTTTTTTTTTTTTTTATTTTCCTTTTGCTTTTTTATATATTCAGCTAGCTCTTTTGAATTTAGGAGAGTCTCAATTTGGTTGTTAAAAATTTTGTATGTATACAATCTGTTTCTTTTAATTTTTTTTTTTATATAATCGTTATGTATTAGTGTGGTGTCCTTGTGCAGACTTGGCATGTGCAGGTGGTTTCCTGGATGCCTCATCTGCTGCTCAGCCCAATGTGCCTCCTCTTCTGTCTTGTGCTTCATGGATGTGGTGCTGCACTGGTCCACTTGTAAAAGGTGGTAATCTCCTTGGGTTGACTTTTTCATATCTATCCTGTTCATATAAAAGGAGAAAAACTGCTCGCTGCACATAATACTTATGCTTTTTATAAAGTCCTTCAATCCACTTGCGTTTTGCAAGCCGTGAGGTGTTTTCAGTTCGCTTTGGTAAAATGAGTGTATTCGAGTCCATTGTAGGTTCCTTTTTAAAACCTCCTGTAGTTCTTTCTCCGCATTGTACAAGGGGGTGTGTTGACTTGACATTAGAGGGACGCTGTGGATGGAAGCTGTTTCATGCGCGTCGTGCGGCGACCCTGCGTCTATGTTGCTGTCTCGTCCTTCCTTGGGTCCCACTTTTGAAGTGGCTTCCCCGGAGGCGTGATGCTGCTGATTGGCGGGGCTCGACTCGTTCGCACACCTCTGCGAATCGCTGTGAGCGTTCCCATTTGGCTTGTTCTCGCTATTACGCTTCTTCCCGATGTCACTCCTCTCCTTTGGCTCATCCACGACCTCATAGTTCAGACTCTCAAAGTCAGCCCTAATTTCGAACGCGTGCAACATGCTTATGTTTCTTCTAAATACGGAAGAGTAGTCCACGTTGGCGTCCCCTCCGCTGTCCAGCGTGTCCAACTTTGCCTGCACGTCCAGGCGGTTAATGTGTTCCCACAGCTTGTCATTCGGTTCGTCCCAAAAGGCATGCGCACCATGTCGCTGATGTCTGCACCCTCCATCACCACGCTGGTTCCTTTCATGCCGCCTGCCCTTTCCATGAAGGCCCTTTTGCACATACCCCTTAAAAAGATGCTTATTCTTAATCGAGCCAGTGCTATGCACTGCATTGTGGGCCTGTCCTGTACAAGAACCGCAAGGGTACCCACTGTCCCCTGCTGTGTCGTTACATTCAAATTTAAAGAAACGAATGGAGCGCTCCTTTATCCTTTTGGCTATGTACATGAGGTAGGGGCTGATGCAGGATTCTTCCCGTGGCGTTGTTAACACCCTCGTGAGGTACACGTGAAAAAGTGTTGGCAAAATGGACAGGGAAAAATAAAGCAAAATGTACAGATGCTCATAATTTAACTTGCTAAACATTAAAAACATGTTTTTTAATTTATAAAAATTGTTAACATTGAAGAGTGCATTCGACGGGTGTGCCATTTGCCGTTGCGATGATGTGTGTTTCTTTTTCTTGTCCCCATAGTCCAAGTCACAATTGTAGTTGCAATGGAAGTCACCTTGGTTGTCTCCTTCCGCGCCGCCCGAAGAGTGGGAAAGGAATTTACGTAAAATCGTCCCTGAATGGGTGATTTTGTGCGTCTCAATTGTGTTGTCATCGCACTTGGCTTTGCTACGTGAATCATTATCTGCTCTCTCCTTTACTCCCTTGGTAAAAGTGGACACGTTGTGCTCATTAATAAGGTCCTTCTTTTCGTCTTTAAAGGTTTTACAATTTGTGTTCACTTCAAAGCAGCAGCGATTTGTGTTCCTATTTGCGCTTTTCATTTCGCATTGTTTGTTTCCCACACCGCTGTGTTCATAATTTACAAAATCGTTGCTTTCGTTCGGGTAGCTGAACAAAAAGTTGTTTTCTCCTTCTGTCCAAGTGGCCGAATCTGCATGTTTGTGTAAAAGTAAGTGAGGGGTGGCCCCATATGAGTGCACATATGGACATGTGTGGTGTGCAGTGATTATTTTGCTAAGCCAGCTAGCCATATTGTACTGCACTGTTTTTTTTTTTTTTTTTTTACCGTTTTGTTCATATGTTGCCTGACTGGTCAGGCAGTTTTTATCATTTTTCCGCAAAAAGGCGCAGCCCCTCGGAGGTACTCGCAGTTGCGCTTCACACACATCCTTGTTATCATAAATTTCCTTCAAAGTACGATACAGCTCGTTGAAATAGTGACAGTTGTGGAAGTAGAAGTAATACTCAACGAGTGTTAAAAAGTGCTTATAAATAAGCAGCAAGAATCCGTCGTCCTTGTCTCCACTTGTGAATGTGCATATGTAGAGGAAGTGATTAAACAGCTCGCTGTTAATTATTAATGCGTACAGAAATTCTATGTATATGTCCGTTTCGTGGCTGCACAAGTGTAGTAGGTCGTGCACGAATTCTTCATAAGTGGTGAACACGTGGAAGAAGCTGCATCCTGTGTGGCTTCCGTCGCTGTATTTTGCGCACTTCACTGGGTAGTTTTTTGTCCCACGTGTTCCTTTTACGCCCCCGCCTGTGTCACTGTTGCCGCTCCTACTTAAGCTTCTTTGTCGTATGTCCCCCCCTCCCTTGTAGCTTCCATTGTCGCCCCCCAAGTCGCACTTAGTCTCCTTCAAAAACGTTACATATTTCTTCCTGTAGTGTGATAAGCTCTTGGCCAAAAAAATAACTTTCTCTACGAGTTCGTTCACTTTCTCACTGTACACAAAACTGCTTCTTACGTTTGAATGGTTAGTTTTCATCATTGCGGTGTCATTCGAGAGGGGGGATTGCTTCTATTTGTTGCATTTATTTTTGTACGTCATGTGGTTGTCTTCAACCCCTCCCCCCTGTGTCAGGTGTTCCAATTGAGAACCGGTAGAAAAGAAAGTGATTTATGGTCTATTCCGTTCCGTGTTGCCTGTCAGCTGATTGTATTATGTTTGTCCCAAGTGACTTTTCGACAGTGTGCCCAAATTAATGTTTTGCCTCATCACATAATTGCATGCATTGTCGAAAGTTAAGTAAGTTCCGTTGGAGTTTATATCTATTAGGGTTGAGAACTACCTGGGGTCTTAACCTTGCCCTTATGATAAGTTCCATGTGGAGCACAATTTGGCACACCTCTGGTGCTAGTTGACAAAATGCTAGAACGCAGGGCATACTCAATTGGAACATGTATTGGGGATTTTTCCCCTACACAGTTTAGCAGGCGGCGCAATGGGACGAGGTAGAATGAACAAGCAAGAAAAAAAAAAAAAAAAAAAAAATATCCATAAATGCCTAACTTTTCGAAAGAGAAAGAATAGCCTATGTTATGTACACCTTAAAAAGTGCAAAATTATTTGTGGCTTATTTTATTTTGTTTTTTTTTTTCCCCATTTTGTGCATTTGTCCCCTAGGAACCAAATGCGTAAGAAAAGGAAAACGCGGGATAACATGAGGCGCTCCAGAATATGAAAGTGTCCCCCGTGTGGAAGTGGAACAGTTGTGTTTAACCAAGGGGTGTAATATAAATTTAATGGTGGGGGAGGCGAGGCGATACCTGCATTCATGAAACAGGTACCCCGCTAGGTAGGTACACATATATACTTCTATGTGTGACATTCATATGTGTGCCTAGCCGGCGTGGGGGAAATGGTTCCAACTCAACCACTGGCGCCAGAATGGGGAATCAGGACGAACTCCTTAGAAAGGCCTGAGGGAACATTTTAGGGGGTGAATTATCTGCCCCCCATGTTTAGCGCATCATGTGAAATGGATTCTGTGACGAGAGAAATGATGCCTCCAGGTGAGTCTTAAAGCGGACTAGAGGACTACACTTCGTAGAATCCTAGTCACACACATAAGTGCAGACAATAATGCACTACCTTTGTGAAGGATTCTCATGTGCGTGTATCCTTTTGTGTTGCATTACCCCCGTGGAGAGCGTGTCAAGTAAGGGACATAAAAAAAAGGGGACCTCCCGTGTGAGACGCAACTGGGTAAAACTAAATACATAGCGGACACGAACGCCTATTCATTCGGTTAAAAGTTGCCATTTCCGTGTCCATCCTAGTGGACCTGCCCATGTGCACACACATGAAGAGGGACATGTGCATCAACGTGGAATGGTCCCCATGGGAACCAAATACAACCTGTTGTTGATACGGACGGCCAAAAGAACCTATGTGAGGTGTCTGTCTTAAAATTGCCGATGGTGAGAACAGCTGACGTGACGCAGCTTCGTTGCCCTTCAAAGTATGTATGATTACCACAGCGAGGGAAAATATATTTTCAAAAGAAAACATGCACAATGATTACTGGGGTATGAGCGGAAAACGTCATTGCAAATTCCCCCCTTTGTTGTTCTGTTACTTCGTTTTGTTTCACCCTGTTTGGGCAAACACAAAAGAAAAAAAAAAAAAAAAAAGTATACTCATGTGTGCCAATGCACATGCACGCACTGCAGCGCAGGTGCGAGCTGACTGCAAAAAAAAAAAAAAAAAAAAAAAAAAATTCTCCACCACAGTTGGCGCCACAATCTGTTGTGTCTTTATTTCTCATCATTCATGATGGTGTAGCGCGGCCTTTCATTGGGAAAATATACAAATGGACCATTATTTGTTTATTCGTTTATTTATTCATTACTTTATTTTTTTATAACAACTTTTGATAATTTTTTTGGGAAACATTTCTGTGTGCATTTGGCTATTAACCAAAAAGGGGGGAGAACTTTCGGTGGAATTTTTTTTTTTTTTTTTTTTTTTTTTTGCCTGAACGTGCAGCTCATTTTGGAGTGCCCGTTAGAGGAAGGCATTTCACGCTCGTCTCAGCGTTGCTCGGATTCGCTATCACGATCAGGCAACGGCGAAGAGAGTTACGCAGTTTGCTATAAGTGAACAACAACACCTGGGAAATACAGCCCGGAAAATAATTACGCAAAAATAGAGTCGTGCAAAAATAGCTGCGCAAAAATAGTCGCGCAGAGTGAACTTGCCAAAACTGCGCAGGCGACACACGCCCTCGACGGAGAATACTTTTCCGTGACGGTTTTTTTGGGCCCATTTGGAGCTTGTCACTTTTCGTCCTTCAGCAATACGCGGTGGGTAAGATTTATCCAAACGCAGTTGCCTGCTTCCATTCCGTTTTAACAATTAAAAAAAAACCAAAAAAAAAAAAGAAGAAGCTAATTTGTCATTTCTGGGAGAGGGAAATTAACGTCTCCGTTTGAGGGTCAAGAAAATAACGCAAGCAAATAACGAACAAGGATGACAATCGAGTAGAGCGATGCTACCCAACACTTCAAGAACCAAGTTGCCATTGAGGTTCCCCTTGGGCAACAGAATTGCATATTCTTGTGACACATACTCATGAGCGCATCGTGCAGTTCTCATCACTGTTTTATTCAAATTGTCATTATTATCATCTTTGTTTTGTTGCTATTCTTTTTTTTTACCCATTGTTTAGTGTTTTTTTTTTTTGTTCACCTTGCATTAGCCACAGAGCAGTTACACGTGTAAATGCCTAAGCCTTGAATGTTACATTATATAACACAAACAAGTGCACCTGTCAAGTGTGCATTTTTTTTTTTTTTGTTTCTTGTGTGTGCTCATTTATATGTGTTCCAAATAAATTGTATGCTGTGAAAAGTGCATCAGGACTATTTTTGTTTTTTTTTTGTTGGGTGGCGTACCTAGCACTGGTGTTAATTCGTATGATACACTTGTGCGTGGCGACCTTCTGTGCCTCTTTGCCATTTGTTCTCGTGAGCGAGGGGGTTAACTCTGCGCTCTTGGCTCACACATGCGGTGAAAATTTTCGCACAGTACGTTTACACACATGTGCACCCGAGTCGGCAACGCCCCCTTTTTTCTGTTCAAGACCTTGTCGCACGTGCATGTGAGTGAGAGGTGAAAACAAATTGTGTCACAAATAACCCACTAGTTTCCACTTTGCGACTACGCGACTGATCTGTTATATTACGCCTGGCAGATTTTTCTTCGTTTCTGCTACTGCGTTATTTTATTTTTTTTCTTCCTTTTCTGTTTCCCTTTTGTGTATGCCTTTTTTTTTTTTTTTTTTTTTTGTTTTCATTTGGCTTGTTGGCAGTATTCCCAATAATCTGTTTTATTCTGCCATGTGCGGAAATTTGCCTGTCCCTCCTGGCCCAGTGGTGTGCATGTACATGTGCATGAAGGATCCTGGCGCTGTGTGACCATCCACGGTTGCTCTGTTCTGCACCCCCGTTGCGCGTGTGCAAGGGTGTGTGCTCAAGCGGCTTCAACAGCGGCTTGCATATCGTTTGCAGAACGCGTGTGCGTATGCACCTGTTAGTGTGCAGCTCGCACGGAGACCCCTCCAACTTCAAGCAAAATTATCGTGTGGTGTGCAGCCGCGCATGTTCTCGGGAGACTCCATGTTCATGGGAGGAAAGAGGCCCTAACAGGCAACGCTGTGCACATATTGGCAAAAAAAAGGGAAGGGGCAAATAGCTGCCCATGCCTGAGATAGGAGGAAGGAAGGACGCGTCCGCACAACAGTCACTGGTGCAACTTGCTCAGCCTCTCCGCCGCTAACCTTTTTTTTTTCGCTAGCCCCCTGACTCCACGATGCAGAGTGTGCCGAGCGAGACGACCCTGAACTCGGAACCCTACAAGAGCAAAGACACCATGAACACCATGAGGAACGAAAAGTCCACGGAGTACTCAGACCACTCGGACGCGTCGAACAACAAGGAGGACTACATTGATCACAAGGAGGAGTTTGATAAAAAAATGTGTGGCAGCATGCACGATAAGCTCAACCTGTACGACAATATTGTAAGTGAAATAAAAGAGCTGTACAATGGCAATATAGTTATGAATAATAAAGGTGTGGATCGCCTGAACATAAAAAATGTGGCCAAGGGATTATTTCTGAGTATTAATAAAACGATTTCGAAAAAAGTGCGTGTGTTAGTGATAGGAAATTCATCCTCAGGCAAAAGTACTTTTATTAATTGGTTTTTGCAAGAGAATATTCAAAAGACAGGTTACGAATTTGAGACCAATCATTTCACTCTCATCACAAGTGGAAATTATTATTCAGAGTTTAATGGAGATGTCACGATTAAATCATTTGATTTCATGAAAGAAATTGCCCAACGAAATAGGAATTTTAAAAATAATTTATGTACAAAAATGTATATAAGTAAAAATATTGAGACAAAAAATATTGACTTTATTGACACACCAGGATTGAAAGATATAATGAACAAAATTGATTTCGATATTAACAGTATAATATATGATTTATCAGATTATGTGGATATTATTTTAATTTTTTTTGACTCTTCAGGAAAGTCTTTAAGTAATCGTTTACTTCTTATTATTAAAGAAATATATGAAAAGCATTTAGAAAAAATAATTTTTATTTTTTCCAAAATTGATGAAATAAAATATGAACAGGACAGGATAAAATTGCTTTGTCAAACAACTCAGTGTTTGGCTAGCAAAATTAACATACGCTACAATATTGATTTGGTCCCTATTTATATTCATGGGGCTAAAAATGGCAGGTACCTCTTTGAGGGCGCCAGAAAGGACGACGACCTCTGCATTGTCAATCGCATGAGCGATATCATTTATGAGATAAAGAAACTTTTTTTTAAAAAATTGGAAAAGGACCTGTACTGCCTCGTGCACGACTGCGACTGCATCATTAATAAGATACTCGACATTTTGAAGACGGACGGGGAGAGGCACGTCCACAAGTCAACCCTCAGGCGCGAACGTGAGTGGGGTGGCATTTTCCCTGCAAAGGCACCTCCAACGAGCATATGTACATAACTGCACCTATGCGTAGCGTTGTATATTTGCGTCTCCTCAATGGTGTCCTTTTTGTTCTTTTTTTCCCCGACAGGCATAAAACACACGATCATCCAGGTGTTCACCTTCGTGGCGTTTCTCTTCTTCCTGTGGACGCAGCTCTCCGTGCACACCTACTACAAGGATGTACTTATGAGGTGGGTCATCAGCGCCACGTTTAAGAACACGACAGACTGCTAACCGTTGCAACACTATCCCTCGCAAGTGCGCCAAGTCTGCGACGGTCACTTCTTTTATCGCACGCAAACACACACATGTACGTATTCCCCTTCGCAGCTACGTGGACATGTCGAGCAACCGCTTTTACAAAAATTATATCATCAACACGGGAACCATTCTTAACAATTGTAAGTTGAACGGGATGCGTGTGCAGCACCTGCTTGGGGAGACAGCGTGTGCATGTGTTTTGTTATCCTCAACATACCAATGCGCATTTTTGTTTCCCCCTCCTTCCAAATATGATGTGCACACGTTGTCCCACCTGCAGGGGAAAACTCCTACCTGATGATAAACATGGCCTTGGTTTTCTTCTTCCTCTTGAGCGGGATCATGAAAAAAAAATTCACGAAAAATATAAAGACTTTGCACGTGTCAAGCAAGGAAATACTTAGGGTGAGTAGCAGACACAAGCGCGTGGTGTAAAGCGGCGTCTGAGTAGGCAATTCACCGCTTTTTCATATTCCCTGTGTACGCCACATTTTGTGTGCAGATAACACGTTCCCCTTTATGCTGTTTCCACTTTATCTCCTTTTTGTTTTACTTATTTTCGATCCACTCACTCCACGCAGGAACAACTTACGTTTGCCAAGTTCGCCAAAGACAGAGGCAAGTACTTGGCCAAGACCTTCTATGAGTTGAAGCAGACTTGACGCAGGCGTGTGCAAGTAGAGAATGGAAACAAAAAAAAAACGAATAACATACCCTGCAGGGTAAAACCCAGACACATGTGACGACTTTGTTTCCCCTACCGTGGGCTCACCATTCCCATGTCATGATGGTAAAAGAAAGGGAAATAAAACAGCCATGGATGAAAATTTTTTTTTTTATTTTTTTTCTCTCCTAACCCCATCGCCGTGGCCATTACCTAGGAAGATACACATCATTCTCTCGTGCGCTTGCCAATGAATAAAAAAAAAAGAAAAGGAACAAAATATATTTCCCCCCCTTTTTTCGTATACAGTTAAAAGATTACCAGTAGTGGGTGGTTTCCCCCCCCCCCCACTTTTGCATTTGGCTCCCCTTCTACACATCGTTGGTGTTGACAACTTTGTGAAATCATGTCGGCCGCCTTGCGCGATAATTTAGCACCGCGATTGTGCAGCTGTGTTGTGTCTCTCTTCGTTGCCGCTTCGTTAGCGCTTCGTTGCTGTCGCGTTGCTTTTGTATTTTCCTTTTTTCCTACCCATTTTTAAAGGAACTGTGCGGCACGGTGTTAGTTGCGCCCCTCCCTGTGGGAAGCCAAACGTGTGACCGTCGTGCTAACCATTTTAAGTCAAATTTTGTTGTCGAGCTGATCACAAGTGAGTACCCCACTGAGGTAGGAGAAATGCACACGTGTGTTTGTACCTACCGGATAAGGGAATATACAAAGGACGTTGCCTCATCGTGGTAGTTTTTAAAAGATCACTCGTAGGGATGCATTATGGCCTCATAATAATATATGATAACCGCGTACACTAAACACACGATGGGTTGCCTTGCCCGGTTAGAGCTCACCTGCATGATGCTGCTCCGTGTGGGTTTTTTTTTTGGTTGTTTTTTTTTTTTTTCTCCCCTCATTTTGCCTGACCTGTCCGCCGCCGTTTAACTAAAATGGACAAGAAGCAAAAAAACATCTTAACGCAACATTCTTTCGCCACATTAAAATTTGATGTCTTTCCCACGGCCGTCCTCCTGGCGCGCGAAGTCTTATATGTTATTTGCACGTCACCATCACATGGGTGTCAACTTTTTTTTTTTTTTTTTTTTTTCCCCCACACATAGCACTGCGAAACGATTTTTTGCATTACTGCGGCACGTGTTTTTGTTTTTGCAGGTTAGCCATTGTTTAAGGAAAAGGGGGAAACAAAGCGCGGTAAAGCAACAACGCAACAATGTAGGTAGCGCAACGAAGCAGCAACGCTGTGGGCGGAGTGATGCAGTTTTAATTTGGCGCTCCCCGCGGTGCATACGTTGTGTACACGATGCTGCGTCGCACCGGAACACAACGTCGGCACCACTCAGTGTATTTTTATCACCTACGCATAAGGAAAAAAAAATTTGCACTCCCCCAATGCATATAAAATAACGACAATCACTGCAGAGCGGAAAAATGCGTACGGTGACTCCTACATGGCGCGCAGGCAGAAAAACGCGAATGGTGCGAATGAAGCAAATGACGCATACGACGTAGCAAATAGCGCATAGCGCATACTTCTCGAGCGCAGGTGCGCCATACATATTCTCTACACGCACGACTGGAGTTGTTTCGTCAGTTGTATCCCATTTGCACGCCATTTGCTTTCTATCTGTTCGCAAATTTTTTTATTCCTCCCATTTGTTGCGTCCGCTTCGCGCATCACACATCACACATCACTCGTTGCGCATTTCGCCTCACCCGCATGTTCCATTTGGTGCTGCGTTTTTCTTACATGACACATGGTTGTCCTCTGTCCTGCTGTGCGCGGCCTCCTGTCACCCCCCCCGTCCAAACAAAGATGAACAAAATGACATGAGCGCAAGTGAAGGGGGAAATTATATTAAAAATAAAAGTAAAGAGCGCTTTACAAAGAGTATTTTATACGCTTATGTATATGCCCGCACACACGTATGCATGCGACTCGGGGTGACTGAGTGATTTGAGAAAATTCTACCAAGCCAGCTAAATGTGGATGTGAACACGGCAACCCCGAACGAATGCGTCACGGCCATAGTTCACCCGTCGCGAGGATGTTGGAGTGACGCGGGTTGATTTGAAACGGCACATCACAGCGCGATATGCCCATCCATCATACACTTTTGTTTATTTATTTTTGTGTGTGTGTGTGTGTGCATTTTGACACAGGGAGAGAGGCGAGTGGGAGGCAGTAATGAACTCGCGCAATGATCCTGTGGAGCAGGATTGTCGCCAGACGAGGGGGAGATTTCTTTTTTTTCTTTTTTTTTTTAAGTTGCGCAATTCGGCACTTGGCCGGCCATTCCCCCTCGCTGCAGCAATTTTTTTTTTTTTTTTTTT